ACTACCTTTCTCGCCAATAGGCTATCGAATTTATTGCTCAAAATGGTACGGAGACAAGCCAAAAATAGTCTTTTGAAAATTACGCCACTTCATACGCTTAGTCTTTTGGGGAAGGAATCGCATCTCTTTATTTCAGATAAAACAATAGTATATCGCATCATAAAAATATCTTCATATTTTATATATTTTTACCTACACATCATATTGCATCATGTATGCTGTTTTTCTGCCACGACGATGCGATCTTCACTACGGGCATTTAAGCACCGCTCTTAGAAGATGATGCTATCCCGTTCTCATTCTTTCAACTGGGGACCAGAAGCAACTATGTAAATTTGAAGAATCTGAAGAACGCCGACATCTCTTAAACTACACAATCACACTCGCGCATCAATTCAGCGTGACAAGGAAATTCCTTGCGTTTCGCTTATTATTGTTGTTAATATTTTTCTTCTTAACCATAAACGTTTTGATTGCTAGGCCCGGTTTACTGTAACTCTGTAGTCGCAATCTGTTGTGTCGTGTATTGCTCCGTTGACTCCGGCATTGTCTACCCCTTCATCGTTTTTTTGATCTAACGCCTCACGCACGTCAACAAATGAAGCGGCCAGCGATCACGTTGCTTCCTTGCCCCATAGGCTTTCTGTGGGCCCACAGGTCCAGCCGGGGGGTCACTCTAAGTAGAGGCAACAGTTCCGTACTCGGGGAACTTCCATTTCCCACAAACGGCTTTGACTAACGGCAACCCACATCCAATATACAGTTACGACTATTCCTCATGCTACAGCCGACGATAGTGTTTGACTCGTAAGGCGCTAGCATAAACAGAACGCGACCAATGGTAGACAAATGGGTCAGACGAGTTCGACTCTGTTTGGTTCTGTGAAGGACTACACCGTCGCTGATACTGACCATGGTGCTGACGCTATTGCCGCTTGAGCGAAGAGTGCGCGCATCGCAACAACGAGTGACGGTGATTGAAGCTCCCGTCTTTCTCACGATGTTTGATTTTCTTTTCCCATCAACAAAAAAAGTAGAACTCACTCTCGTCCTTTTGCTTACTGTAATATCAAAGACTGGGGAGGACTCTGTGTGAAAGTGTTTTAGCGGATCGTATTGTATTCTGGAGGTCGGGCACCATTGAGGAAGTCAGAACACAGTTCCGATCTGTGATTCCGACGCCCGATAATAGCGAGATTAGCAAAAATGCTAGTAGCAGCTGCATCGACTGGTACAACATTTCTCCTCGAGAGCAATATCAGTTAGACAGACGAATTAAAAACGTTTTCAGGCCAAAAAACAATAACAATAGCAGAAGCAATAGCATTTTAGCAGCAGGATTCGCGGGTTACGAATAAACAACATTAAGTATACAATAGTCAGGCCTAATTAAAACGGACCAACGATGGAAAGAGTCTTTCATCACAAAACTTTTTTCGCACTAAGATTCAAAGGCGCTTTCTTCTGCTTTCCAGGTCTTGCAGCATCACATCATCTGCTTCTAGCTGTCATTCACCGTTTGGTATCCGTGTATGATGTAATGATGTAGGAATAAAGATGGGAAGACTTTGGTTAAGAAGCCAACCAAACTACGTTTTCCCCCCAAATTGCATCCTACACTTAAGGAGCGCTGGTTGTGTTGGCACATAAAAATGCACCACGAATCCTGTCGTTTTGCGAGATAAGTGAAAACAGGCCAAGAGAAGGCGTAAAGACGTTGTCGGTTTTGTGTTCGGCCGTTATCAATCAGGCCATAGTTCGAGTATTTATTATACAGGTAAAACACACGCAAATACGTGTGTGTACAAAAAAATAATCACTGTGAGGCTTGAGAAGCATAGATATTGCATGTACAAAACGTAACCCACTTACACATTTAACATGTCGCAGTGTGGGTAACACATACTTCTTTTACGTTGACGTGCTGCAGTCACCTTTCCATTACGCTTTCTCCTCTGCAGCACCGTTATCATTATACTATAGCATAATAGTTCATGTAGCTTATAGCTGTGGTAAAGTCTCCGCTGCTACGGAATACCTTTGATGCGGTTCGATGTATGGGCGCTTGTCGCGATACGCTTTTCCGCGATCTGCTCCCGACGTAACTACTATGTACCCACTGGCAACAAGGCGAAAAGCAAGAGGAAAGCTGTTTGTCCTGCTGCGATTACTAAATGGGATTCATAAGGTTCGAAGAAGTCAAGAGTAGGCCCCGTACGAAGCCCAAAACACGACCCGTTGAAGGACGCCACAGTAAATGGCAGCGATTAACTTTTTGGCTGCTGCTGGTGCTGGTTTCTTCCAGTGCTTTTGTGAATGATGCGATGTTAATCTTCCGGAGGCTCTCTGTCTGCCAGTCGGTTGGTCTGTCCGTCCTATGTTGAGATAACCGTATGCCCGGCACGTCGTCCCCGCTCGACGATTCACTGAAAGGTTATTCGGCCGATAGCTATAAGGTAGTAAGGAATACCCGCTTGCTCGTCTTGCATCGCATTGGAACGGCACGCTTGTACAGGACAACAGTTCGCAGCTTGTTATACGACTGCTGCAGTAATACTATCTCAATTGATTCATAAATGTCTACTAGAAGGCCAAGCAAGGCAAATGGTTGTGCGAGGCACTTCGGTAGAGGCCCAAATGCACCTGTGAGACGTGTTCTCGTAGCCCAGTTCTGGTTTTAAAGGCCAAACTGGACCTGTCTTGCAGAAACTCCTCGCGTTGTGATGTGGGCGGATCAACTCGTCGGAAAAATAGATAACCGGTAAACAGCATGTGAATGTAGCATTTGTTCTTGTGTGAAATGGTCGTGTTAATGGGGCGCGTACATTTGTATTGCAATAGTTCGTGTATTTATCCTATCGGCACGTAAACAGGCACATACCTTCTACGAAATGGGTTGATTCTGAGACGTTCTTTAGTAACGGCACCGACACACAGCAGTACGATCGTTTCGACAAAATTTGTTGACCTTTGTACTTCGCTATTGACAAATTGATGTTTTAGACATTAGTCTACGAAACATTCACTAAAAACGTGTATTATCTTCCTTAGGGTCGTCATTCTACCAATGTTTCGCACCAGCTTCGTTGTAGGTTTTGTTCCGTTAATACCAGTAGTGAACCATAGCTAAGAGACTCAGATATTGCTTTGAACGGTCTCTGTTTATACCCACTGCTATCCAAATCTGTGCACATTTCTTACTAATCTAAGCTTTCACCATTTCTGCCAGGCTAGATCAGGCCAGCGTACGTTATTCGGTCTACATGGGCAAGTCTGTTCGTGACAAGCACGACGAAAACGCAAGAGAACCCGCTAAAGGCAAACTATTGTACGCCTCCGCAAGATTGCCTCCTATCTGACGATACGGTGATAAGTAAGAAAGGAGAATTGCTATGCGGATGGAGAAGAATTGAAGTCACCAAGATGAGTGACTAACGGCGTGTATGGACTCTTCTTAGCGTCAACAGAGTCGCTGTCGTTATCGTCCATTTTTAGTTGTTTCGCCCTTTGTAACATTTGTTATTATAGCCCACCTTTATTACCGCAGTCTCCTGAGCCAATTTTTTTTTGTCGAAAATATGAAACAAATTATCACTGAAAGTATTTCCAATTACACTGCGATCTCATACAGGCATACGACATGCTGCCCACGACGCCCTGTGGGTACACTATTTAGGAAGAATATAGAATTTAAAATTTACAGCTTTCATGGTAGGAAACCTCGCGATATCGCCGCATCCACGAATGTAGATCGAAGTGATATCCTGAACATTTGATTTGCAATTCCTACTATGTAATGTCTCAGTTATTTTTTTTACATAAATTTTTGAGATTTTGTTTTCTCCAACGAGTGTTCTCGATAGTTGGCTGATCGTTGCAAGGAGGACAGCCAAGATCCGATGGCGTATTTTACAACCATCACTGTAATAGAGACATGTAGAGCGGCAATGGTAAAATACAACATTGCGACAATTGGCACACGTGTGAATGTATTGCGTGATAAATAAGCACTGATACAAAATAGTCGTAGGAGAGATAACAACGGTGAACTGGACTCTTCTTCTCTTGGAAAGCAACTCCGATTATTCGGGCAGATATAAATGGCAGATGGCCTCTCCATGTTGTATTTGCAGCGGCTTAAAGCCATTTCCGTAACTGACATAGAGTCACGTGAAGGGAAAAACGGACTTCAACTTCACGGTGAGGTTACGGATCGAAGGGAACACGGCCCATACATTTAGCCAGATAAAGTCAGCGCGTATAGTTGTTACAATAGAAGAAAAGGCGCAGAAGTCGCAAGAAATTGAGGTAAATGAGGAATGGATGCGCAAGAAGTGGAAGAGTTCTACCAAGTAAACAAGATTAAATATGCCTATTGCGGTTCATACCCTGGTAAAGTAAATTAACGTATGCATGCGTGCATGTGTGTGCGTGTAACTAAATATAGTGGAACGACTCTGTCTTATTGACGTTATAGACACTTTGCTACTTCCCACCTTCCCATTACTTATAGGCGAGAAATATATATACTCGGACATAAATTCAACGGGACTATATAAATCAGTCAGTGCTGGATATGACTCAACTTCACATGTTCATTTTCATTTGCAGAGCACTAATTTAATTGCAAAAGATGCTTCCACCTTCGAGGATATGATACTTTAGGAATATATTTATTTTGAAGGCTATGCTGCCCGTTTCACAACGCAGAGCAGCAACTGTGTAAGTAAATTTCTAGAATATAGCCGGGCATATTGTCGTGTTACATAGATTCGACGAGGTTACCGGGTTAGACTGTGACGCAGCTGTGAACATTGCATCTTTTACCGTAAACAACAAAATATCCTTTGATACGATATAAAGACAAGGCCAAATAGAGTAAGGTTCTAGGTAGTCTTGAGTGCCTGTTGCTACTATTTGGAAAAGACTAATCGTATTGATGGCCTCTATGTTTGCCGCCAACATATGTGGTATTTACTCTGTTCTGTTTGCTGTTGCAGGACCAGGAGATCCTGAGTGCATGGCTACGCAGCATTCAGTCCGAGGAGTGTTTAGGCCTGTTCGTGGCCGCCGGATATGATATGCCGACCATTTCGAGAATGACACCGGAGGATCTGACCGCTATCGGGGTCACGAAACCCGCCCATCGGCGGAGGCTTTTCGCCGAGATTTCGAAACTCAACATCTCCGATGGCATTCCCGGTGCGTGAACTAACGGCCAACACGTGCCGTTCTTCCATCCTTACGAATACAATATTAGCACTGCACCGATACTAGGCACTCTTCTGTACGATGAGCGCATATTATTGACCTCACACACAGAAAATCCAATGCAGCAAACCCCTGAGCGGCCATTGGATTCCATACACTACCCGTAGCAGTATGCTAGCACAATGCGGTTTCTCCACCCGTGTTTTCTATGAAAGGATGTGTTTTCCATGAACATATACAATCCATTCTTCGTATCATCGATAGACCTCCAGCCCCTTCGCCTTCAACAACAGTACACTAGTGAGAATGTTTTTATTTTTTCGTCCTGTCAGAGCAGTATTTGATTCTGAATCGGCAGGGGAAAAGTGGAGGATATACGATAGAATCTGTTCGTAATGCGGCATTGAACGCATCTAGCCATATGACCATCTGATATATACACAAATCGTATTGGGTCTCTCGGCAAACTTATGCTGCCATCGATAGTTGTCTGTAAAAACATTCATTCTTTGAATATTTAGAAAACTACACCATAAATGATCACCGAGAATCCTATACAATTGTTTATTTGATTGTGGGACCGGCTGTATGCGAACCCTTACCCTACCTGTATTGAATAAATCATATGTGTAATGTACAAATATATTTGTTTGTACAAGGTCAGGTCATAGCTTAATGAGAGAATTTCCCAGAAAACATGGGATATAATTGTTTTAGAATGAAAAGGTCACCGTCGCCCTTATCCTAGGCATATCTAGGGCACATCTGTGTAGCTGATTTACGCTTAGTTCGCAACAGACAAACTGTATAGTTTCTCGTCATTCTCTGTACAGGTTTTTCTAACAAGCGTAATGCCAGCAATTGCTAGGACATTTTCGTTGTCATTAGAGTGCTATATGATTTGTTGCTTTTTCGGATTTTTTCCAACATGTTATTTTTTTCGGATCGCTGCTTTAGAGACTCTTAGTTTTTCTTGGAGCAGCTGGGCCTTAGTTAACTTCATTGCCTTTTATCTTCCTGATTCCTCGGTCTCATGACACTGCATTCATTAAATCCACTTTGGGAACCATTAAGTGTAGATCACATACGATAGTTCCAGTTTTTACTGGCTGCCTTACAGATATATGAGATAAGTCGCTGATATTAATCGATATCAGCACGAAGCGATGCTATCTACCGCTCATTCAATACTGAATTTCTGATACGTTCTAGGTCTGTCATCAGTCTCGAAGAGACACTGTTGTACAAAGCATTCATCGCTGAATTGCGGCATCTTTAGGACCAAAGCGTCAGCAAGCGCAAATCCATTGCATGGAAACCGACTATAATAGAAATGAACTATTCTGGTGTTTGGCGAATTGAAATTTTACCATGGCCAAGATTCTCAAGTGTTCCTTTAACGACAGGCCGCGGTATCGCTACTTTGGTATTCTTTTAAGGACCTCCGTGCAAATGATCTGGAGGAAGTGGACAGAAAAAAATAATTATACCTATTTTCAATGCTATTCGGAATTGATCAGAGTTCGTCTACGCCTAGTAGAACCCAGATCAGCACGCTCTGCAGACTGCCCATTTGTCTAGAAGATTCAAGTTACGAATTACGAGGTTTTTTCTGCTTTTATCTATCGCAACTTTGGTTGAGTTTATTCGATTGTGAAGAAAAATCGTTTCTTTATCCGAGGAGAAACGCGGGTTTGCGATGGCATAAAACAACATAGCGCTGTTGATCTTCGTTATGTTCAAGCGAGATCTAGGACGAATTGGTGGATAGAAGCGGGAAAAGACAAGATAGTAAAACAATGAAACAACTGGCTGAAACATCGACACGTAATAGAAACTATCATGTTCAAGGACTTCGACAACGAAGCCTTATATCAGAGAGCAAGAAGATGCTCCATGAGATGAACCTACGTCCGGAAAAAGGACTATTGAAACAATAGTTTGGTAACAAAGTCGATATCATTCTCTGGGGGAAAACAGAAGAAAAAAAATAGGGAATGACGAACAAAGTGCTTGAACGGCAATGCAAAAACGCAGCAATGAAGATTACGAAATAAAAGGTCTTCCGCTCACAAACGGACCAGCGAAGACAGGCTGCAAGTGCGGATAGTTGACGCAAAATTGAAGTACATGCCTGGTTTTTGTAGTTAGTTATGGCTAAAACAGTATAGTACGCCGACCGTGAGCGCTGAAAAGAAAAAAAGCAATCATATCTGGAAGAGGCAAAGGCTATTTGGATGGGCATCCATATGGTATGATGACGGCAACCCAAGCAGGTCACTGATAGGTAATAGCAGAGCAAAGCCCCTAAAAGCTTATATTCAAAGAGGCAGCGACTTTAGGTTAAAAAAAAATATGACACAACACTAGAAACACGTTTAGTATGTTGACGTTAGTAAAGAAGACAGGTTCAAATTATTCTGGGGAGAAAACTCTAACGTATTCATCTTCATTGAAGATTTCCGTGTGCTGTTAATCATTATTTAAATATTTCCAACCAACGAGGATATCAGTTAGCAGTGTGCACAACAGTAATAGATGAAAAACGAGCAATTAGTAACTTATATGAGAAATATCTGTCTGAAGATGTTTTTCATCGTAAGTTTTCGATGACCCTTGTAATTCCATGTAGATCAGATAATATATTAAGATATATTAAGTTTCATCCTTTATTTGTAAAACATAATAGAAGGAAACTAATGAAAATAATGACCATCCTTTCAAATCTATGTCAAATATGGTCTTGTCAAAGCAACTGTTATATATCATTCCTAAATGCTCGCTTATTTTTATTTCGTAACGGTCATTCTATTTGTAATTTGAATTTTGCGTTTTCTCGTTGTGCGCTATTATTCTATTGGGAAGGAACTCGGTGTTGTAGGGCATCTTTCCAGAGGGTACTTCGTTTCTATTTGTTTTTCTTTCCTCAAAACGTAACGCCCTCGGCACTACGCGCAAACTTTCTAGAAGACGAGGAGAACTCCTAGGTTCCCGTCCAAACAAAACAGATAATTATTTGGTTATTTTTGCTACGCAATAAAACGACGCGCTATGATAGCTGGAAACCGACAAGGATTATTTAGAGTGAAAAAATATATTTAAAGGGCATCGCTCCCCATCCGCCATACTTTGTCACTCACCTACGGATCGTTTTTCCTGCTCAATTATTGTTGTTTGCGTTATAATTTCTATAACTATTATAATGACCTTATCATTCGAATAATGCAAGTAGATTACTACCCAGAACCTCACTAATAGACGGAAACAACGTCGGCCAGATCAACACAATTTGGTGTAGCACAGAAACACACGGTCCGGTCTGAGATTGAAAAGGTTAATCTTCAATTTTGTCAAATAAAAAGAAAAATATGGTATTCACGGAGTGGGAATCATTGAAATCTATGATATTTGTGGACTCCGAGGGTTCAACCCCCTTACGTACACTTCTTACATCATTACATGAATCTTTCCCTGTACTATATGTGGGCCATTAATGCTTTACCTCATTTATGAGTTCGTTTGTAGTACGTACTCTCGTTCTCGTTTGCTATCATCTCCATAAAAATATGAATTGTAGTCTATAACAGAGCTTCGAATACTTCATCTGCATCAAAGGCATAAACTATCAAATAAAATACTCAATTCAATACGATGACATTTTTGTAATTGTTGAAACTGGCCAGGCCCCGCTTCTCGTTTAAATCTGCTCATAATTTAGCCACTAACTGCCGTTTCGAGACTTTCGATATCTTGCGTACTTCCTAAACGCATTCAAAATAACTTGATTTATGTAGACATGTTAGAGATGTTATTATGGCTGCTAACACCGCTCTACTTAGTTCGGTTGCTGCCATAATGAATGCTATTTATAAACACGACGGCGAAGATACGGTACTTCAGTTATTGGTAAAACAGTAGAACCGTCTGTATATGAAGAGTGTGTTGGGGGTGGGGGGAAGGCAGATCTGCAGAACATATTCCGTAGAGAAGAGCACACAAACAGATTAGTTTACGTGAGAAGATTAAAAGTAAATACAAGATGATAAAGATAGCACCCTCATGTTCAACTATGTTCCCCATAGAGATATAAAAGTTGATGTTAAAAAGCGTTTTACGAGTACTGGAGTTGGAAGATGTCGACGGAAGGAAGGCATAAGGTTCGAGAATGCAAAGTCTTTTCAATAAGAAATATGCTTCAGATGTGAGATAGGAAATAGGACCTAGGACAGGATAGGAATGCAGCAAGAAAGACGTTGTTCACGATTCAGATTAGGCTTTAGAGGATCGTATGAGCGAGTGTGCGCTTTTTTGTGTACTTGAAACTGGTAAACTATAAAAGTAATGTCAAATAGCCTCGATATATTGTAACTGACTTGTAATTTAGAAAGCTAAATATAGCAACTTGCGAACTTTTCTTCTTGTTGAGGGTGCTAGTGTGCTGCAGAGGACTGTGTCGTGAGGGAGTCGAATGGTTTTTTCGTTGGATCGTGAGAGTACCATATTTAACTAGCGACCTAGATGGTGTATTAATATAATATATAGAAATATATTCTTCCACATATTCAACGTTTTTTGTTTACGCATATTCTATATATATATATATATATAGTAATACATCGAATTTTAATATAACGCTAACAGATTCTCTTCGTTTTTTGTATCGATGTTTTTTGCAGATTACAAGCCAGACAGTTTATCGTTGCTGTTAAAGCTGCTCCGGCTGGAAGAGTACGAGGCGACTTTGGTATCGCAGGGGTACGACTCCGTTGACAAGGTGGCCGAACTTACCTGGGAGGATATCGACGACATTGGGATCACGAAACTCGGTAAGGCCATCATACCAACTAGTGCACAGGATTAACCTGACATGTATCATTCACCTGCAGGTCGAAGCAGCTACTAGAGGTAAACCCAAATGGGGCGCTCGATGGTACTGGTTTGATGCACTTTCGTACCCAGTGCTATATAACCATACAGGTTGCACTAACGTGGTCCGTAAGATTTGCTGAAGTAAATTAAGAATCGTCCGAATTAGCCTGTTGCTGCTAGTCGCTTGATTCACAAGCTGATATCATAGAGGCAATGTTTCAGGACGTAATTCTTTATGTGATCATTAAATAGTATAGTATGGAACAAGTAACCTTTTACTGTGTACAACAATGGTAAATGGTTGTAGTCGATAAATTTTTAAGCTAAACATATTATAGATACAAACAAATACAAATGAGAATTAATAAGTGCAACTTATGGCACGACCTATTTTACCGGGTCCCATTTCGCGACATTTGTTGCCATTGCTTACGTAAAGGTCTTTATTTCTTTCGTGCTCCAACCAGACTTCTAGCGTCCGACTCTAAGTATATGGGGTGCCTTCCTCTTTTACCAAGGATTTTACCGAACACTGATTTTTTATATAGAATAAACCTATACTATATTATGCTGTTGTAAATGCTTCTACATGTATACTATGTCTAACGGGCCAGATTAGCCGAACGCTACTCCTTTCATAGACGATCAGAACGTTTTTTATCCAAAAGTAAAATCGCGTTGTCGATCGCAGTTGTCGCGAATGAAACTCTTCCCACGGGCGTCGTTATGTCTTCGAGCTTTGGCTGGCCGCCCAGCATCTGAAGTTCGAAAGGTCATAAATATATCCGAAGTTTACTAATAAGAACTGTCTTAAATTTCTCTTAGGGGAATCGCCAAAAACCATTTTTTTTTATTGTCATCAATATTTGCTCTCGGTGATCTTCCCTTAGGATACTATTGGACTCATAAACGCTTTAGCGCCTAGTCTATCTCGAAAAATAAATGTTTTCGCTTAGGAGCACAGTAGGCTATAAAAAGACTAAAAAAAAAAAAAAAAAAAGGCGATGGACAAATCTGAACTGAATTGGTTAGATTCGGCTAGGGTTATTAATCACTGTCGTTAGTCAGGGGGGCGTCCTTCCTGCTTTAGCAAAGAGAAAACCCCAAACTATTTCTTCATGACCCTACTATGGTGGAACACCGTTTCACTTCTTGAACGATCATTCGCTTCTGAGCAAAGTAGATTATTGTTTATTTGAGTAGCGTATTCAGCGCTAATAGATGTCCAGACATTGTCCCTGCAGCAGCAAATAATTTTATCCTGTATCATAGAGAATTCTGTATAACCAGCCTTTATCTCTACTATACTAACGAATTTTCTGCATTAATTAATTAATTTACTCGTTTCCTGTAGTGCCTAAACAACCCAGTCGTGCCCTGTATATTAAGCAAACTATTTCGGGATTAGTAATGAAGAAAAAAATTGGTCAACTTATACCAATCCGATGCAAAAAACAAAAGTGGCATAACTAGCTAGCTCTTTTCTATCAAGTTTTTATTGACCGTCATAAAATGGCGTCACTGGCAGCATTGACAGTATCTGTGTGTCGCCCGCCACATTCTATTGCTTGAGCCGACGTCAACGATGCGGACTGGAGAAGGGACTCACTAATTGGGTCTGAAGGGAACTGTGCCTTCTATGAAAGATGGAATTGGACTTTTTCTGTTCCAATAAACTTGAACATTAGGCAAAATTGTTAGCTGAAAGCAAAAAACACCAACTCCCACACGACATGCTGCGAATATAAAGAGAATTATAGGGTGCAGGCTGCGGCAATTAATATCCTCGTCGGATTTCCATGAGACATAGGCACGCCTTTCTTCCGCTAGAATTGTTAGATCGAGATAGTGTGATCGCCATCAATGATCGGCGATCTGCTTCGTGTTCATTATGGAAGGGGCCCGGAAGACTGCAATTACTCAACCCTTGGCCGAGCTAGTTGGGTTCGGAAAATACCTTCACTGGGCAGATGACTTAAACGACCTTCGAGTATGGAATATGCTTATAAACTGGCGCAGAGCCTTTCACGCACTGTCGGCTTGCTCAGAACAAAGCGGATTTCCCAGAGCACACTTTACGCGATTCCTATCTTGATACTGTCCGGATATGGACCTGCTCGGATGACAACCTCTACCTGTGGTTAGCCAACGAATACTGTATAGAGCATGCGAGCATACGGAAAAGTGCCGCAAGTATAGCAAAGGGCATCGGCAATCTTTGAGGCCAGTTCGGCCTCTGAATACCTTCTACGCTATTGACTGTTAGTTTTAATTTTGACCAGACTCGATTTGAACCTCTATTCATTTACTCGTTAGCTCGCAGCCCGCATTAACTCGTCGTTGCATTAGAAGCAGGAAACCTGACGGCGGGATCATTGCGGTCCGCTCCTGCAGCAGATTCTACCTGCTATGGGGGTGCCACGTGATGCTCTTAGGTCGCTTGCAAGTGATCGAAATAAATCGAAGACGAAAGAGCCTTTAAGGATCCGATCCTGTATTGAAGTAGACGAGTTGGATTCGACAGATGTGGTGCGACAGCCTTCCATGTCTCTTTATCGTCATTGATCGGATTTCCCATAAGCCAAAGTCAGAGTTGTCACCTTTTACGATTACTGCTAGTGAAACCGCTAACAGTCTGAGCATTGGACACGGGCGAATGACGCCGTTAATCAGAGAAAACAAAGGAATCAAGGTTGTCTGTAAATTTACCAAGGCAAGGCTATGGTTCGCATGAACGGCATCTTGTGCTGACCGTAAGGAATGTAAAGGGCTATATTAGCTTTCATTACATAAAGTACAGGTTAATTGATGTTTGCTTGTTCAGTTCGATGTAGCTTGCTTAAGCTTCTTCCCTCAAAGCTCAGTCCTGTGTGCTAAATAAATTTACCTTCGCACGGATGTTATTTAGCTAAATTATGTTGTACCTGTAGAAAGAGAGTAGTAGAAATGTACGACGTAAACTAGCTTGTAATGGGTAACTTAACTAACCGCTGGTATCCACGGTAAGTTCTTAATATATAATATTCTACATATAACTGCAATTCGGTAGCAAGTGACTATGAATACACTGATCCAATGGGCAGCGGTCCAACCCTGCTTCAACAAGCTGGCCCGGGTTCGTCACAAGAAGCTTCCAACTCTTATGACGTCGTCCTGCAATAACTAAATTATTGTCATGCAGTCAACAGGGATAATGGTTGAATAATAAAAATCACGTACGTTCCAGTTACTGGTTGTACAGACATACTAGTGGTTCTGTATATCGTACGCTAACTGAGTGTATGCTGTATTGCATAATACCTTATTGCCATTGCTGCAATAGTGAGCCACCTCAGTATTGCGTGAGAAGGCATCACAGACGAGCTCGGAGATCTTCTGTCGAACTTAGAACGCATACAATACTGACTGTGACATATGAGGATATGGTGAAGGCAATGCCTTGTATCGCGTGAAATTCAGATAAAACCTCTGTTTCATTGGCGACGAACTGGAGCTTAGTCTGGTTGAAAGTATTCCACATAACAGCCTTTGTTTTTCATCAGCTTCAACGAAATATTTTGCGATTTAAGAATCTGGAAAACAGTAACAACTTAAAGCTTTGGTTTTAGTCTATCACAATGCTTACCTGTTGTATTAAGGAACACGATAAGGCTTTTGCTCGTAGAAGTGCTTTTTCGATTCGAGGGGAAATTTACGGTACGGTCTACAGAAATACGTGACAAAATCAAGGAAAAAATGTTAAGTTTCAACAAACTTTCTAATACGATATGTAATAAGCGAAGTTGATGATCAACTAGACCAAGTATTTTTAGCAACATTTACCACTTATGATTCATTATTAATACTAGTAAGCTATATTACTTGTATATTTATTTATTTTAGCACATTATATTTTATCTATTACATGGATTATTTCATGTGTTTCCCCGCTGTATTTGCCTATTTGAATATGGCGCCTCCCACTTTTTCAGTAGCCACCTCTACCTGGATCGCTTCCTGGATCATTTCCGGTATGGTAACCGCAATACTAGTAGCGTCCTAAAATGCATCGCTAGGGCCTCACAAACCTGCTTCTACCGTCTGTAATAAGAGCGCGGTATCAGCAGCTAAACATTCGCAACACCTTCCTTCCGGCCGTTGCCTTCGTTACTGAAAGGAACATCTCCGCACGCGATTTTTTGCCCTTGACCGCGATGCTGTACACCTGCGAGTTTTCTTCCAGTATTTCATGTCTTTTCTGCGTCGTCGTTGACGCTACGTCGACATCAAGACTGGCACGCCTGGCTGGCGAAAGCCGGGGATCTGACCATTAGAGGGTAATAGATTTACGAACGACCGTTCAGACTCAATATAGAGCAGTGCTGCAGCTAACGTAATACGTTACCATTCGCTACGTCATCTGCATAGAATCGGGCAAGATGAACTTGATCGGAGTAAAAAAGCGATAACGGCCATGCTAGAGGCCTGTTCGTTCCGTTCGTCCGTCTTCGCTGCTGATGGGTCGACAGACAGATAAGCAAGTCGACTTTGCACAGATTATGGTTCATGTGCCCTCACGCTAGGCGGTTGCCGAATCACATCACGTGTGTGGAGTGGTGTCGAAAAAGAAACTTGATTGGAGAGGGGTCTAGGCGAGAGGAAGAAGCTAGCTTCACCGGGGGGAGGGGGGAGGGGCTAAGCCATACCGTAAATCACAGGGTGAGCTAGGCACAGATTCGGAACATGGATACGCTCACGCGAATACGGTGATTCGATGGTTTTGCATGGCCACGAGCAGTCGAAACATATCGATTAGAGGGGTCAGTGAGCTAAGCAGTTCTGGGTTCGTTGACCCGATTTGTCATAGACGACCGCAGACAGCTATGCACTGTGCAGTGCCGTTCCGTACCCTCCATGTGTTGTTCTGGCTCTTACCTAAATCTTTTTATTTACGGAGCAGCCTGACGGTGAATAAGTCAACAAAATAATATTTGAATGTGTCGTATATTTCTCTTTCGTGTTACATAGTTTCTCAATGAGCTAATCAAGCAATTGGCCAAACAGCCTTCACCTTTTCTACAATATTTCCCCTTTCTTCTCTCTCTGAAGTAACAATGACCGCCGGCGATCAGAGAACCTGTCGTCAAACCCCGCAATGCTAAGCGTATGTGACGCCAGGACACCAAAGAGAGGTTGGTCACCGAACTTTGGCCGTCTATGTGGACCTCCGATATCAATGACTAAACCATATCTGAAACGTAGGCTTAAGTACTTCATTATTGTGTTACTGCCTTTAGTTATAGTGCTACATATTTTGCAGAAGTGCTGCTGATTCTAATTACATCAGTGGACTAAGAATGAAAAGCTCCTTGAGAATTCTACATAGAAGCCTAGATCTAACTTATAAGAGAATTTTGCTCCACCCTGCGGTTTCAGTTGTAAGTGTTAGGCGCTACTTGTACTCCTTCTTTCCTCCTCGTGCTCCTCCTCTCCACTCTCCTGCTTGTGGATGCACGAGCGTTCGGATTTGTCGGCCAAACGATTGTTAGTGCATGGGACTTCTCAAGATTTACACATTGACTAGCTTGCTTTGTTGGAGATATGGTTATCTGGGAAGGCGATCTATATGCGATATATGCGAAACGCATCTAGGCTGGAGGTGGATATGTACGCTAAGGTAAAAGCAGCACTGTTTACCCACGAGTATACGCAGCACTTCTCGTTGGCGGTTTTGATCTGACTCTCCTCAGCGTAGAAATAATTTATATGTAATGTATGCGTGCACACTCGGCAAGGACAATCGGTGTACTATTAGGCACGTGTCTTAGGAGAAAGTGAATAGACCAGAATAAGTTTCTTTCTTAGCAGGATATGAAGCGAACTTAAAGGATTATTCCGTCTTATGAAATGATAGTAGTTAGAATATAGAGACAGACAGTATGAAAATAGGCTATATCCTAAGGTCGACTTGAAATTTAGCGCAACTTACAAGACGATCCACATCTATATATACCCTTCTAGCAGAAACAGTTCGTTCGAGGGTCGACTGCGGCGCGCTCCAAGAAACGTAAACACATTTCTACTAGATGTAATGTTTGTCAAATGACAGGTCCCACTGCAATCTGGCAATATCATTTCGCTCCTGTTGTAGGCTGCTTCCGTTGTAAGAACATATTTAATACCTTTCCAAGTTGCCTAGTCATTATACCTCAATGACGATAATAGAAACTTGAAGAAGGATGTAACTAAGTAGATACAATGAACAGACAGATTGGGAAATGGCCAGGCAATGTGTATCCGTCAGGCTGCGATCTCTTGTAGTTCTTTCCAATTGCCCTAGGCAACGTAAATCGACGTATGTCAGGCGTATATGCTGGCGAATCTCTACATAATTCTGGGCCGGATATACTAGTCGTCCCAAAGATTCCCTAACGTATAAGCCATATAGGAGTCACCTCTGAAAAATGTACATACACTGCAGTTGTTATATTATTGACTGAAATAATTATTTGAATCTTCTGTACAATAACCTAGAGTAGTTCCGTAACAGATACTTTAGGTTTGGCTATATGAGAGCTGTATGCTTGTTCTGTGACATAATTTCGTTAAATTATTGTTGAACTTCATGCTTGCAGGCCACCAAAAGAAGCTCACGTTAGCCATAAAAAAAATTAAGAATTTTCCACGATTCCAACCTGCCTTTCGCCCACTAGCTCCCTCAAGCTCATCCCATCACTCTTTTGCTAGACATTCATCCATCGATCTCGGTAATCCGCACGCGCGGCCAATCACAGTTCGTAAGTACACTCTCAGCTTTTCCATTTAATTTGTATAAACGTATTATATTAATTTTTTTCTCATACTTTCTTATTCTTAAAGAGACCTATCAAATTTGAGGATGCTGCCTCCAGCGAGGGTCGACCTGAATCGCATAGCATATATATAGTTCCCGCTGAAAGAATTAGTTGTGTATGATTTGAAAACATATTTTCTATGCCGGTGCCTGCCCGACAAGACGTGTCGACCTTTGTCAAGATTTGTGTACCAAAAAGTCGCCTGAAACCACGCGTGTTCTCTGGCTTCGTTTCTCTACCGACACAATCGTTGTTGCTAGCGGTTAAATGGCCGCGGTGATGTTAGTCCACCTGTGTCCCTTTCGCCTTGTCTTGGCAAATCTCTCGAGCCTTAAGTTTACCTCTGATCGGCGATTCTTTAGGGAGCTAATTTGTCATAGAAAGTGGCCGATTTCGTTGTTGAGATAAAACTCACACTACTACCAACAGGGAATGGACTCACCGATGGTTAGGTGATTGCGATTTCCTTTCGGCTCATACCATGCCGTCTCACTGCGAGATCGTTGCGTAATGCGGATCTGCAAACCATTTTCTAACTAAACGCTGACCTACGCAGTCCTAAACGATTCGTGGAACACCGACGGTATGGCGGGACAGCGTCGCAGACCAAAATCGCTATGAAAAGGGATAGAAGGAGAAAAAGATATAAGAACGCGTTAGTGAAATACTAATTCATGGATAACCTCGCACGGGTACTTGGTAGTGGTGGGGATGGTGGGGCCAGAAAGTAGGAAAAAACATTTTGTTTTCAGCCGTTTGGCGTTGGATTAGACTCTTTGTCAGATTGCTATGAACGGTTACCTTGCACGTGACACTGTATATCGCTATCAGGTCGGGGCCTGCCATTCGCGTCTCGCCAGCTGGATTGATTTAGCAAGAAAAACAGACGCGTGTACGGCACTGGGGTAAAAAGGACATATGGTATAGTCCTACGAAGAAAAAAAGCGAAGAAGCGAATAAAAATGGCCGCAGGGAAGAAGGACAGAGCGAAATCTGTGACAGGCTAACATGTGATGTCAGCAAGAACTGAAGTGGTAGGTGGCACTACTCTAGACCCTGCCAGTGAAGAAGAGGGGACTGCATCAGAAAGGACATTAATAAAAGAAAAAACAGAGGCAAGGCTTCCCTAAGTGACGCTCTTACCACCAAATCATCTATCTAAAAAGATCTCTAGATCTCTATAAAGTCAATGCGCGATGATAAACTGCTCTTTTCTTAGTATCTCTAAAACTACTAGTGGTCGATAGTAGTCGACTGTAAATAGAAAGAAGTGAGCTTATTACAAGGAAGATAGAAGCTGCCAATATTTCAATAGGCACAATTATTCCGTATCCCATCACCAAGAATTATCGTACGTTTGCACAAGGTTAAGCGTCTATACAGATCATTGCTACAGTAACTTTTAAGTGGTTTGCGAGGGCATCCGTATCCGCGTCTGCTTTGAATTGGGTTAATTTTCATAAAAATAAATATAAACGTGATGAAAACATAGTAGAATCGTATATTCTTTAGGGTTTTCGACAATAATAGTAAATTTTAACAAATAAAATAATAACCGAAAGGACCGCTAATGGATCTTGATGTGATTCAGTTACCTGCTCTAAGATAGCGCGATCCAGAGAATTTAGTCGCAAAAATACGAACAGGAAGAACAGTACATAACATATGGTTACTATGAATGTAAGAGGAGCAAAAATGAAGTATTAGGTAACCTTCCGCCTAAGCAAAAGGCAACTTTCCTCAACTGTAGTGCCGTTCCTCTGATTTCGTTTACCGCATAAAGTATCCATTTTATATTTTTACAAAATGCTATCGAGTCATTTTTTTCAGCCGTCCCCCCGGAGCAATATGAGTCCGCCGCCTGGATGCCTACGCCTTTGCAGCATTCTGTCTCTCAGACAGAGTCATTGACTTTGCCTCATCATCGACAGGTATAGAGAAATGAAATAAAATTTGATACCAAATATTTCAGCGTAATTTTCACATTAAAATATCCGATGGCTAAGGACAAAGAACTTTCAAGTTTAACGAATAAAACCTCTATAGAACTTTTTACAACTTGAGTACTGTCCTATAACCGTTTGCTCTCGAATCGGATCGCATTGTTTAGCAAGATCTGACACACATCGTAGGAGATTAAGAACTGCGCAGTTTTAGAGATATATGCAGGCTAGCCGCTGCTTAAGGACGCACAATGTATAGCCTAGACCATCAAGTGTACGTTATCATATAATATAGATTAAATGAATAATTTCTATATTTTTTTATAGGTAGCGATTATGTAAATTTCTTGTTTCTGTCCTCCTGAAAAACGTATTGTCATGGCATTTTTTTTTTGCTTGTGTCGTCCTTAGGTAAACGAGTTCAATCGGCAGATCGAAGTGCAGCTTGCCGATGAGCAGTTATATTTCGCGTGGCAACAGCAACAGGAGCACGACGCGATCTTCGCTCAGCAACCAGCGCTCAGAGGGCGATCCCTTGAAAGTCTCGAGCACAATTTTGAATGGTAAGCGGTGATCTATTACCAAAAACCGGAACTGCTAACCATTGTGCACATCCCAGTCGATTTAATAACCAAGAACACTTTTTCCGTCCTTGTATGCCAATAAGTACGAATAGGCTAACTTTACGAATAAATTATGTACTATGTAATAAAATTTTTTACCAGTAAGTTGAGCTTCGGTTTGCCCCTTTCGTGGACCAAGTGTTACCGCTAGCGACTCCGGCCATTGTTGATTTTGCTTAAATCGAACGCGACCAAATCGACCCCCAAATAGGTATAGAGGCGCTAAAAAAAAGCACAGGTCGGACGTTCTCAAAGATAACGAACGGCTTTCTGTTATCTAAACGCAGCACATTTTCGAATACTTCACTCAAACATTCCCTCCCGCTCAAGCTGGCGATCGGCACCAACGAGATGAAATAAGAACTGGCTACGTTGAAAAATAAAAATTACCTAAAAACATCAAGTAATTTTACTTAAACTGGGTCCGAATTTAGGCGATTCAATTAATATGCAACTGTAAAATAAAAAATTAAACATAGTAAATAAAAAATTAGAAAATCCAGCTGCTTTTCACTCTGTATCAAACTGCAAGCCGAGAAAGGACAGCGCCGAATTTCTCAGCATTGTATTTTTTCTAGATACTTCTAAGTACCTTTTAGGAAAGCTTTAGATATCTGTATAATACGGAACAGGGTGCTTAAAACTAAACCGCTAACATAGCTAACTTTAGTTATTTTTCAACACAGAATGTAAAATAGTATGCTATAGTACCTTGCTGATCGTTGATTACCTTAAAGCGGCAATTCAAAAACATGTTCTATCGCGATTTGACCTTACTCTCGCATAGCCATGTGGGCAAAGTTACTTCAATGGGCGTTGCCTGATGATCGCTGAGCTGTCTACAAAAAACTTCTACGACCCTATGATGATATGAGTTTTTAGATCTAATTTAATAAAACGACAACGTCAATCTTCAATTTTTTTACAATAAACAAATATAATATGGTTCTCAAATCTTGGTTTAGCTTGATTTAATATGAAATCTACTGGAAGGCACAAATGACAAAGGACTTCTTTTCTCAGTACCTCTAAAACTACTAGTGCAAACGTTTGTCAATAATCTCTCAAAATTTTGTAATACTTTAGTTTTTTTTAAAAAGTTTTTCATGTATCGTTAAAACGGTACATGTAGACACTTTTATATATTATATTAATTTTACAATACAACAAAATAATTTCCTATAATATTACAATTTCATGTTATGCTTTTTTGCTTGACAAATTTCAACTGGATTAAGGTATAAATATAAACGCTATAATATACGTGGTCTCTCTTTTTACATTATCAATTTACAGATAATTAATCAATGCCATTGTTGTCAAATTCGATTAGGTACGACTTGATGAATAGCTGGCGCAATCAGATGATGACTGATGCGTCTGGAGGTGGTCCACATTATATTGAAGGCACTTCCACTTTACAACGGCCTCGTGGCCTTCTCGGCCACAAAACGAACTCCCGACCAGTTGCGAAAGTACAGGGCACTTCGACAGTTTCCATACGTGACCAAATAACCACAAATGCATCAGGCTGTGGTTCTTCAGGACAGGAGCACGGAGATGCCACGGATGAGGCCGCTAAGTCCGAATTACTCGCTGGACAAGTACGCTTATACCTTACACATCTAGTAGCTCCTTGAGAGTAAAAATAACGTGTCTGATACATAATATAACGCATACGAGTAAAACTCTATCAACATTGAGCATATTTGCCTGCAGCTCAAACTCATCATTTAACCTATTATATTTATCATTTCTATAATGCATATCTAAATAAGCGAGCTTATTGATAGCGGAAAGTAACTTGGGTCTTGAATTTGGGTTGCAAAGAAACATTTTGGCATCGCTGCTTTAAGTTCTGCGGACGTGTTATGTACACTCACTGTATGTGAACCACGTATGAGTTCCGAAATCCTCATTAGAGTGTGATTATGCCCTCTGAAGTCTTCATGAGTCAGCATGTCGTTAGGCGCCAGCTTTCACGTGATTATTGGATCATATGCCGAGGGTACAATCGCTTTTTGTATAGTAAGGCGGTGCCTTTAAATTTGATTAGTGAGCTCCCGCCAAAATAATGCTTTAAAATTTACATTTAGTTGTGACTAAAGGTACAGTACAAAACTTAACGAAATGTATCGTTGTTTACTTTTTTTTTTATAGATACCTATCAATATTCTGTTATGTATATATGCACGAATTATACTAGAAATTCTGAATAACCTGCTCGAACTAACGACCCAATAAAAATGCCATCTCAGCAAGCGCATTTACTGTGGTTAATACTAACTTCACCAATAGCTTCGTTGTCTATCTACTTTTGTTTGCTCCTTTTTTTCCAACTTTTTTTAGGGCCCAATCCCCCCGAAACGCGGGGGTGGCAGTAGTGTCCTGCCGCCAGCAGGCGTAACTAAAGCCCACGACGTGGGGGACACGGCGTTCGCGACGTGTGTCCAAAGTCTGACCTCGCGTTTCACCCTGGACACGTGCGAGGGTGGCGAGGGTATCGAAGGAAGCTCGAACGCGCTGAGCCTCTCCCTAGCCGCCCACGGTGACGCCCACGCACTGGCACTCGCTCGTAGTCAGCTTTCCTCAGCCAGTTCCGCTCATATCCCCTGGCCGCCACCACCGCCGGAACCCCCAGCGACCGCTGGATCGGCCGGGTCGCTTCCTCTAAGTACCAGTGGCAGTTCCACTACCACCAGTCCCAGCGGTCCCTACCGGCCACCTCGCAGTCCCCGGAGGGAGCGCTCCCCCGTGCCCCCCGGAGACAGCACGGCCTTGGCCCCGCAAGTGATTGAACTCAATCAGGCGATGCAGAGCGAACTGAAGATAAAGCTCAAACAGAGAAATCACCAAGCAGTCGGCAGTAACAATCCCGCAGTGGCCGCTCAGGACCAGCACCTCAAGGAGCTTCCGAAGCCAGCCAAGAGCGACGCCGATCTCGAGCGGGAAAAATTCCTCGCCAAACTCGAGTCCGTACGGAAGAAAAGTGAAAGAAAGGAGGGCGCGGTTTCAACAAGTGGCTCAGGTATAACAGGTGCAGGTGGGTTGGCAGCTGTTAGTCAACACCAGCAAAATGGAAAAGGGCCATTGTTGGCACGCAAAGGCGTCGACAAAGACAAAGAGCATAACAGTGATAGGAAAGTGACAAGGAAGGACGGAATCGAAGATCCAAAAGACAAAACGGCGAAGGAAACCACAGCAGGCTCAGTTGGCAAAGACGCTGCGAAAGGTTCAATATCGACACCATCATCACAACAGGTGGAACTCAATAACGGGAAAAAAAGTTGTTCGATGAACAGAAATCCAATAGAGAAGGAGATTCGCTCGTTGCAGGAGTGCGTGGCGTCCGTCATGGATCCGAAAGCAGAGCCAACGACCGTATCACGATCGGGAACGTCCGTGGAGGATGACCCGACAGATTACGACACAAATCCCTTCACCGCCCTATTGAGCAAAATCGAGAAAAACGTCGACAAGGAATTCTTGGCAAGGAAGCGGAACGAGAAAGCCGCCACTGCCAAAACTGCGTCATCAAACACTACCACGACAACAGCAACGAAGACAACAACGACAGCAACGATGACAACAAGCAACAGCAGCGCTAGACCCTCTTCGGGCAATGGCACTCACACAACTAACACAAGTGTCCCTAGCCATAGTCATTCTAGCAACGTGGAGAGAACGATATCTTACTCTACGGCTAACAATAACAACAACAAAAACAAAGCCAGCCACGCCCATACAGTTAGTAGCAATCATAGATCCAGCACAAATGGTGCTAGCACCAAGATAGCCAGCGGTAGTGGTGCTGCTACGGGAGTAGGACCAGGACTAGATAATAACAGTCTTGTAATTGACACGAGCTTTAAGCGTCTTTCATCTTCTTCGAAAGGTGGTCCTGGCTACGGCCATCATCAAAGCCAGCCCGCTGCACCCTCAATAGACATTCGACCGATCGAGGTCAAGCTGGAGGGGCCAGGTTTCGCTGGCACGTCAACCATTAATAACCTCAACCGGCCATATGAGATAGCCCGCTCAACGAAAGCCGAGCCGATACTCACACAGAACAAGTTCTTTAGCACAATTGGCGTCGAGACAAAGGTCATTAATCTTGAGGACAGACCGCATCGAAAAAGCGATGCGGGCCTACCCTCCGCACGAGTCATTATAGGGAACAGTTATAGTGGGACGGCATCAAGCAATAATAGTGGAGACAATCATCAACCACACTCGAGACAGATTTCGGCAGATGGTTCACGGATGACGTCAACACCCGGCCATTCGATTCCAACAGGGATACCTGTAAGCAATAAACATCATCAACTAGCCAGTACTACCATCAATGGAAACCACAGGGTACACAGTCACAGCCATAGCCAAACACCGTCGTCACAGAGTCAAGCGAATAACAAACCTGCGATGAAATTTGGAAAACAATCAGACGGCGCCACGGTCGTCAGAGTAGGCCCCGACGCCTCCCAACAGCTGCAGGCGGCTCAGGCCGAGTTTGACAATAAGTTTGAGAACCTGAATAACGTCAGTAAAGAATCAGAGAAAGAGAAACGAATATTGGAAGTTCAAGAGGTTTACGAAATATCAGACGAGCAGTCGGCCGGAAGTCTTCGTGAAGGCCTGGTTAGTTCGGCGAGAAAGATCTTTGAAATTGTTGGAGGAGGAGGAACCTCCAAAACGTCGCCTGGCAACAGCGGTTCACCGTCGCCAGCCATTCCTCGACGTAATTCGGTAAAGCGGGACAATGTCCCGGCACCGCCACCTCGGCCACAGCGTGCGCCAGAGGTACCGCCACGGAACCTAACACAAACTCTGACGACAACGGTGGCAAGTGGTGCTGCTCCACAAGATTTCTACATAGGAGAATCGAGTACTTCCGCTGTGCATCTACCGTCAAAGAATCCACCACGTAGGGTGCCGGAAACGCCAAAAGTCATACAAGATATCGAGCACATGCTCTCGAGCCTAACAGATCAGTTAGATGCAATGCTGGACTAAACCTTGCGCGAACCTTACAGTCGACCCCACTTACCATTACACGTATATAAACCCATACACACACGCAATTACGTTGAGGCTGCCTTGTTTAACTACTCCCTTAATCAACTAGAATTACCAGACTAGACGAAAATAGGTACAAGAGGATAAGCAGGTACAGCATTCGCATCTGGGCTCAGGGTGCGTGCCGACAACTGAAAAACCCACAGATATTATTATTACTACTACTAGATGTTCATGCAAGGTATCAAGTAAACGACGATGTTGTATCTCCTTCCACATGCTATAATAAAACTGCTATATATAGTGTATAAGAAGAACCGCCGTTGATGTCGAAGCGGACCTAATTGACCCACAAGATGGACAATATAGCTGCAGAAAAATAGGGGCCACAAAAAGGCAAAGCAATAAGTATATGATACTGCAAAGAAAAACATTTCTTTGACTATTAGCAAAACGCTTGTATATGGTGAAATGGTTTGATTTTGGTTAATAAACATTTATTATTGTAGGGATAGGGGAAGCGGTAACATATCGGCTCACCCAGTGCCATATAATCGCTTATACATTGGTTAAAGCAAATAGATAAGTTGTGCCCATGGAACTAAATGAAAATCGTCTATGATCTTTGCGTATACAAATGGTTATAGGAACGATAAAAAAAAGAAAGAATCAATTAATTTTACGTTTTTTTCAGATTGTCGGCAGCATGTACTGTTCATCTTTTTTTTTTAAAGCAAAATTAGTCTTTTTTATACGTTTTCTTTGAATCACAATGAAACAGCTTTGCATTGTCCTAAAAGGCCTCGCTGCTATTGGCATCAGAGATTGGCTTCAGCTGAAAGTCACATCTGCTGTACAGTTGGACGAACGGAATCAACGATCACTCGCAGCAGACCCAGATAAAACAAAACAAAAAAAGGCTAACTTCCCCTTACGAATGTGAAAGTAATGTTAATAACAGGAACATTCGTGTCCTCTTTTGTTGCGAGGCTATCTCCGTGTCCTCGGACAAGGTAGTCAAACCGCGAAATACAGCGATAAGTAAAAGACGCGTTAGATTGTCTAATTATCTCATAATGCCAACAATCGTAGCCTACGAAACGTGGCGTGTAAATGGAACGCGTGAAAACTACGCGGACCATATGATTCGAATGGGATCTGTTGTATGAATGATGGAAAACGTTTACTGTACACTGACAATATAGCTTTCTTCGCCAACGGCTTAGAACGAGGGTTCGACTTTTATCCCTACCTACTCTAGATACAGATAAATCCGCACATAGTTAGGTGCACATATTATATATGAAAATTAATTAATATAATTAGAAGGGAAAAAAAAGCGAGAAAGAACATGTTCAAGCTACCGAATCAACAACGAATCTAGAATGCACGTAAGACATATACCAGGAAAGATCAATTAACAGGACATGTATATCGTACTTCATATTGCACGAGCGTCAGTTTCGCAAACATGTTGAACTCGGCATGACGCTCGAATACAAATTGTTAAAGGTGAGCCAGAACGCAATACGATGTAACAATGTCATCGAGTAATCCATCAATGCCGATTTCCCTTTGTCGAAATCGGATTCCATACCAATACGATACGCGTATAATTAAGATAAGAAAATTATCTAATACGGATGTTAAATTGTATAATTACCTCAACCATAATCATCGTTGCTGTTGACTAGTAGTGCTCAAGGGATATTGGTAACGGCATGCAATGATGTCGATACCCGTCAATTCGTCGAAAGGAAGTAAGATTAAGAACTCTAATATCGAGTTGTTCCGTGCACACAACATAGTTACGATGCGTTATAATGTAAAGTAATTATAAGATGGTCGGATTGGGATCTGACCCGTCATGCTGTAGTGCTGACCGTACAAGTCGCTGACCATCGATGGTTTTCGACAAGTCAACTTGGCTAGTGCTCCCGATAAGTATATACGCAAATATAGTGCGTCAGGAAGGCCATGTAAAATGCCTAAGCCACCCATCAGTAACTCATCACTTCTGCGTAGTGTGAACCTACAAGTGACCCCGACCGTCTGATCACTTAGAGATCAGATATAGAAATAAAGGACGTAAATGAATATACACAGGTAGTACTGGCTTATAAGGCTGATGAACGTTCTACTGTTGGATAAATATTAGCATTGATGAAGATGCACAAGAACTATCTCGGTCTCTTCTAGAGCATGACGATTAGAAAGACAAATATTCCTACTAATCTACAATGAAATCGGTATCAATTCCCTAAGCCCAGACATTGGCCTTTCGCCACAATGACTAACGATTACATATAGAAAAGTGCATATGAAACGGTGGCCCAACGTCGCCTAATGAAAATCAAAACTGTTGACCCCAATCCATTTTGCAACTTCATGTTATTACAAATAACAGATAGGGGTAATCATGATAATAATGTTACGGGACAATCCAAATGAACGGGACGCACATTTAGGCTCAATGGTGGTAAATAATACAGAGCAAAATGTGAGCTCGGCTGCAAGCTGCCGCTTACAAACGATCTGCCAAATAAGCTGTCTACTGCACAGTTGGAAATAAAAAGGAACAAAAAGGGTCGCCGTTAATAGCTGTTTCCAATAGCGGCAATTGCGGTCACAGCAGCCATCTTGCAATGATGATAATGATCTTATAATAATGACACAACTAAAAGCATCTTGTGTTCCGTGACCGACCAGACGTACAGTCTGTGATACCAAATAAAACGCAATACAATAAACGTCTATGTATGATAACATTGTACGGCGTACGCGCTGCGATAGCTACAAACCTAGACGAACCGATTCCGACGTTGGCTAGAGACCCGATCCATTTAGCATTCTATCTAACAACTACGTTTAGTGTAGATGTATGACTAATTTGATGGAAAACGTCAAGAAATCGTGATAAGTTGGTCACTATAGATAGATGAGAAAGCGAACTGAGCAGTAGTGTGAAACGTAATTCGTAACAAAGAAAAGAGCGGGGCTTAGTTTAACATGAGCAAGTAATAAGCCATCCGCTTTGTTCTGTTTTCCTTCTCAGACCTCCTCTATACAAATGAGCGGCTTGGGACCGAACCGCCGTCAAATGTAACATTAAAGCTAAATACGTGGATAGACCGTTCGTAATATCTATAGAACTGAATAGCACGACAAGCGCTATGACGGAATTCGATAACGAGGCAAGGTGACCAAAAAAAAAACAACAACAAATAAGTATCGATAAGGCGGTGACGTGGAATAGAATACAAAAACATAGATATGCTAGGCGAACTTCGAGGATTCATCACAAGCGCAAGCGACACGCTTACCGTATACGCCGGTAACGTTGTCGACCGTGACCAGTGTGTATCGTCATAAGCGTGTCTCTGCAGAACACGGTCTGAGCACACTCAAATCCATTGTGTAGGACAGTGGAAAGAAACCGACATAGCAAAAAAATGCTATATGCGACAGAATAATGGCGGCAGACAATAGAACGCGGGATTGCGAAGCAAATCGCGTCATTTTACCTATCTTTGGGTATCTTTAAAACCAGCACGACGATTGGTACGGGCGGCCTAAGATAATATCAACATAGCAATATACACTGCGACATACATTACGTGGCCATATAGGACTTTTTCATGTAGCATATACAAATAGTCGTTGTTATTGAAACATATTTGTCGCGATCAGGTACGTTGTTGATTACGTACGTGGTCATAATCGCTGCTAATAATAATTCTATTGACTATATACTAGCGTTACTGAAAAGGGGTCTAGACATATAAGCCGAGCGCATCAACTTCATAGTGTAGATAGGAATTACTCAGTAGAGAGATATATGGTATCGGGAACGAAGTTCGAAGTCATTTTTTTCTCCAAGCAGTAAACATTTTTGGAGCCGTTTCATAATGACGATTTGTTTTAGTGCGCTTCCATCTGTTGAACGTTTGGGTGACGCAACTTCGTATAGACACGCAAAAGCTGGCCGTGCAATCAACATGCACTAACACAATTCCTGTATAGCAGAAGAAAATAGGCTATAATTAATGAGACTATTTATAGAAATGAGTAAATCTACTGAAGAATGAATCATACATATGTATCTATATCAACATGGTACTAGGCTAATTTCAGGAAGATAGATGGGGGCTAAGAGTCGCATTGTTGTTGAATCCCTTGCATGAAGAATAGCGTCATCAATATTAAGTTAGCCGATTGACTTCAATGTATAGCTGTAGTGGGGAAAAGGTCGTTGCAGCAGTTGCGGTAAAAGCATACATGATATGATGGTATCCAGGATCACGACGACTCTGTACCTCGCAGTTGGCAAACGCTATTGGTAAATTTAAATCTATGTGATGGGTAAATCAGCCGGAAACAAAATGGAATCGTTAAAATACGAAATAAACTAGATTAAAAAATACAGCGGATAGCGATGCGTCACAGAGTCTTGTTTCTGTAAGTGAGCACAATCGGTTGCAACAGTCGTTGCTTTGAACGGTTTGCTTCGTTACCAAGCCCCCGAGTGCAATCAATGTCATCAACGGAATAGTACTTAGACAGGTTAAAATAAGAGCAAAAAGGAAAAACAACAACATTGTTACTCACAATGAAACATATCGAAACTGTGTAAACAGTCTACACATACCTTGTTAAAATATAAAAGCAATCTATTAGAATTACTATTACATAATGGACCATGGCTAATGGGGTATCTTGTATATCTATCGAGTAGTTGAATTACTATTGCTCTTACTATCGTCTGTGTTTAAAGCAGTAACAAAACTATTATAGAGCTGCTTACAGTAGTTACAACTATAGTTACTTAAGAACTAGTATTACAGTGCAGGTAAACTGGTTGAATATGGAACGCCGAATTCAAGATCCGCCCACGGCGATCATTTGATTGATTGATTGATTGACGAAAGCCGCTCACCTTAATGGGTAGAGCGGTTGCGTCACGTTCTGCGCGTTGAAACTCTATTCTAAGCGTGAACCTGTCTACTATTGAGCTGTATTGATCAGTGGCTAGATAAATGAAGCAAGGCAGGCTTCAGAGGACCCAAAATGCAGCAAAAACATGAATAACGGATAAAACCGACCCAGAAAGAGGGCAACGATAGACCAACAGAAGAGTACTACTTATCGTGACCTTGTATCTGTGCGACATATCGTATCGATTTGTAACTATGGCGTTCTGTTTTTATGTAAATAAAATAATCATTATTGCAATACTATTATTGTAGAAATAGAAAAAGGGAATAAGGGAGAGAGAGAGAGAGAGAGAGAAAGAGAGAGAGAGAGAGAGAAGTCTAAGCGAGGGAAAAGGAAAACGAATGAGCTAAAGATATAACAGTAATAAACGCCCCATTACCTGCCTAAGGTTAAGTTAATTTACAATTGGTATTTTTATTCAGAATGGGCTGCATCTCATAGTTAGTGTACACAGAACAAACCCCCGTAGAAACAATGGTGGTGGAAAATTTGGGTTTACTGAATCTGAATCGTTTAGAAAAAAGAGCCAGGGTTTCTCGACCAGCTCAGCACGAACGAGTGGCCTAGCTTCTGGGCCATTACGTTGTTAAACTGATGGGACAACTGTAATGACCCAGATTCGATTTCCAATTGACATGATAAGACTGAGTGTTTCTTCTCTATTCAGACTTCTGCTATGATATCGGTGAAAAATTACTGCTACCATATCGTACAATGTTCCCGCGGTACGATATGATTAATAAGTGGCTTTTTATTAAAGATGTTGTAAGGCGAAAGTTGATTTTTTTAAATCAATTTCACTCAATCTCGCGGCGATCGTCCACCGGGCGGCAAATAACAAAAAGCTACCAGAAAAATGTTTCTCTGTCATAATACATTGTTTAATGTCTTTTCAATTATCAGAACAAGCAAACCCGTAGATATATATGAATGCGGAGAGACTAATCATTTACCCAGGGAGACGAGAACATAGTGACGGCCCTTTGAGAATTTGGACAAGACCTGAAATTTCTTATATTACATTACTTCCTTTATTGTTATCATGATGTTCATTAATAAATAACGTTTGGTAGCGCTTTTTTCTGTCTACACTGTGGCCTAATTTTTGCTTTTGATTTTAGGCTGTTGACAACATTTTGTCTATCTATTTAGATCTATACGTCGAATGCAATTGTTCGTAAACATCTTGTATTGTTATCGCCCAAACTGAGGTAGAAATAACAACTTTCATGAGAAAAACAAAACACGTCTGTGGGTTTTGGAGCAGCCCGCACCATCGAATGCATCTTGGATGTCGCCATTCCTAAATTCGTTTATGGCTGGCATAGGTAAGCAGGACTTCCTTGAGGAGACCGCATTAGTACTACAGCCGAATGTGGAAAGGCTTCAATCTATTTTCGTTCTGCCTCCTTCGAAGGAAGTAAGTATACCACGCACGGGGGCTCCCTAGAGTGCGTGCGGAACACTGATGCCTTCGGTCATCAACCAACAAAACAAGGCAAGGAAAATTCATCGTCGACAATGGATGTCATCAAAAGCTCATATATGCAATTCCTTCTTCGCTTAGAAGTCTGCTCTATTTGAACCATGATGAAATCTGGCTCAACGTTCAATTGATTTTATTGTTTCAGGTGAAATCCAGTGCTCTACTATAGATATACAGATATAAATATCGCGAATTTATCCTGTGGATACTCACGCAAGAGTTGTGGTTGGGGTTAAGTCGTAAACGATACTCCCTAATGGGTCCGAAACGGCTCGAACACGAAATCCGGAAGTTCTCGATTCGGTACTGATTGGCCTTCGCGAGTCACCCGTTTTGGCAGATGATTTGATCGGCACATGAGTCCTCGTCGTAGTCGTTGTTGTTGCTGACTGCTAAGCCCGCTAGCTGCACCATACTGGCACCCGAAGTAGACGAAATCTCATGAAGGTCTGAGCGATTCTCGTATACCCCGTACAATGCCATCGCAGCCAAAATCAAAGCATAGCCCTATATGTCACCCCGCAAGACGAGATCAAATAGACAAGTGCATAAATACCTACTATAACGTTTTTTCTCAACATTCAGTTCTATCGATTAAATAACACGAACACAAATTAGGGTAATAAAGCAATTCTGTACGTATATTCAACACTGGTCATACTACGGCGCTATAATTTGAAAATCCAATTGGAGATAAGTAGAAAATGAGTTTGCAATATCCTGTCCAAAACCCCTTGAGTCTACTATTCTAAAAGTAATCAAAAAATCTTCGCAAGTACACCTTGTACAATTAATTTTGCCCTTGTCAGCAAAAGCTGTCTGCAGCGTTGCGTACAGCTGATTCTGTTTAAGACTAGATTATAACAAAACTATGTCGTTTGTCTCGCTTAGTAACAATTTCACAGTTGGATATGATTTTTAAACACGTCGTTTTTGGATTATCCTGAAAATGTGTTCGTCAGAAACTAAACATTGGAATATTGATTCACCACGAGAATTCGGCTATCGACATTTTCAAAGAATAACAATTATAGTAAATGACAGTACTACGTAAATTTATAGAGTTTAGTAAGATAAAAAATAGGAAAAATTCATCTATGGCCTTTTTCTTTTTCTGTTCCCGATAGCAGTTCGTTATAATAAACAAATTGACTGCGCCGGGCAGGATTCGAACAGCGCGCCGCTCTCCAAAACCACCGCCCATTTCAGCTATCGCAATAGTACAGCGCTTCCACCACGTAAAAAATCGATTAACGTATTATGTAATATCCAATGCATACGCCAACAGTAGATATCCTGTGGCCGGCACAATGTCTATTATAGTAGCTGATGCCACGTATTAGTACCGCCAATGTACGTATATGCCAATATGAGTAAGTCGCATGTCAAATCTACTCCACAAACGTATTATATGCAATTACTCTACGCAGCTCTCACGCTAACTAGTCCACAGAGAATATAAGGCATTCTAACAGCAGACGTAATCCAATCGGTCAAAGACAAATGCGATAAGAACACTAAGCCACTACAACACCAGTAACTACGTTAATACAATAAGAAAACGTTAACGTCAAACGTTAACCCACGTGAACGACCCGAAGACATGTTCCGCCATAATTGAGGTATGGCGGAGCCTTACTGCGGTCCGTCCGCGAGCCGTGGCCGTGGCTCTCATTGTTGCCTGCTAGTCATTTTTTCAAGCGAGATCGTCACTTTTTTTTCCTTTGCCGGTTT